CATTGGTGCACTTGATGGAACCCATATTCGTGTGTTTTTATCACCTGGAGAACAAGTGAGATATATTGGTAAGACTGGAATTGCAACTCAAAATGTGCTTGTCGTTTGTGATTTTGATATGCGCTTCACGTATGTGGCTGCGGGTCAACCGGGTTCTTTGCATGACACTAGTGTATTGTACCATGCATTGGAAGCAGATGTAGATGTCTTCCCACATCCACCTCAAGGTAAATATTTTTGCTTACGTTCTTTTTCATATTTGTATGCACAAACTTATCTTGTTTTACATATGTGTAGGCAAGTACTATGTTGTAGATGCGGGGCTATCCTAATCGTCCAAATTACCTAGCTCCATACAAGGGTGAAAGATACCACTTACCCGAGTGGCATCGAGGTATGGAACCAAATACTCCAAAAGAGAAGTTCAACCGTATACACTCATCTGTTCATAATGTTATTGAGCGCTCATTTGGAGTATTAAAAATGAAATGGCAAATCCTTTACAAGATGCCCGGTTATTCAATGGTCACACAAAAGAAGATTGTTGCTGCTATCATGGTCCTACACAATTTCATACGTGAACATGCTAGTGTTGATGTGGACTTTGCTAATTTTGATAAAGATCCTACCTACATGCCTACTATTCTGGAAAGGTACAACAAGTATGTCGTGTCTCAACATGCCTCCGATGGATCAACTTCGGAATCAAGCTTTGTGACTATGGACACCTTTCGTGATAATATGGCTACATCCATCGCCCTAGCATGGAATTAGTGCAATGATTATTGTAATAACCTTATTTTGGAACTATAAACTTATTTTTTAATTTCGGTTCTAGGCAAATGACATGTAATTTATTATTATTTTGGACTACACTGCATGTACTTTCATTACATATTTGTGAGAAGTAGTTCAAGTCGAACCAGGGGCAAGAATGGCAATCTACCCTCAAACTCATATTTTCTGGAGCTGGAGACACCCTCCCAGCCAAACACCCTCATCAGACAGCTCCAACTCCACCCAGAGCTGACTCCACCTAGAGTTCTGGAGTGGAGCAGCTCCACTCAGAGTTAGAGTCATGCCAAACAGGGCCTTAGTGACACGGTTTTGAGTTTTTTTCCTGCTTACTTGGGCACTAGCTATGTTCTGAATGATCTTAACTGTGTATTGTCAATTTCAAATTCGCATTTTTCATTCAACTGGTTGGTATGAGCCGTGGAACTACATTAATAGTGATAAAGCACGTGACTTTGGGTTTATTTGGCACATCTCTAGACTTGGGATCTATGCATGATTTATAGTTTGCAGGATAAAATAGAATGGTTCAAAGATATGATCTAAAATAATAACAAAGTTGCTCAATCAAATATGTTCTAATGCCCAGGGCTCTAGATCTAAGAATTTCTGGAGCTAGGGACTACCCTAAATATGCGGTTTAAAATCTTCATCAGTGCAATGCATTGTACCATTCTCTACCTTTCTATCTAAATTCTAGAAGTTGTTAGCAATGAGTACAAGATAACGTACAAAATCTACTGTGGTAAGAGACACGTACTAAGACTTTTTTTATCCCCATCTCGTGTCTGCAACCTCTTGCGTCGCAACCACGGTTACATGTTGTTTCCATGGACTGAATATAGTTTCACCTGTTTCCAGTTATTTCCATGGACTTTTGTTGCTTTCCTCCACTGTTGGTTGGAGAGGGTCACACTTTGAAGTGTGTGTGGTAGAACTTGAAACATTGAGATATTTACATGTATGGCCTTCAAGAAAAATGTGTCTTCCTTTCCTGGCTTTTTTTTTTAACTTACATGTATGGCTCGAAAACAAAAATCTCTTCCCTCCATGGCCCGAAAAGTGCAGGTTTAAACAATAGCAGTTTTTCAACTATGCTTGGTTCGTGTCCATGTCGACGTGTCCTTTACCGGTTTAACCCTCAAAAATTAAATCAGATGAGTAGATAGTGCCAAAACAGTAGTGTAAAAACACCACGGCAAGCAACTTTTAATGCTGCTGTAAAATTTGCTCTCCTGTGTACATCCAACTACATCCAACTAAAAAATCTGGTTAAAAAGATATCACTCAGAGAAGAAAGATACACTTTCTTTTTAAAAAAAATGGGCGGGCTAATTTTAGCCCGAAAGCTTGCATTGCATCCAGTTCGGCTACATTTCAGTGTATAATACTCGGGCCTGGCCTGTTGCGGTATTAGGCCCACTCAGAACTCTAAGGACATCGTCGATCATGGCCTAATTAGTGGGTTTTTGATACTCGAGCAGGTGATGACTTGGCTCCCCTAAAATAAAGGTGATGACTTGGCACAAAAAAAACTTTGTGAGCGGCGGGCATTCTTTGACGCTAAAAAAACCCTGATAATTCTTGAGTAGAAAATCCTGCTTATCGGCTGAATTTTTCAAACATAACTCTTTCTCTTCTAAATTATAAGTCGTTCTAATTTTTAATACATAACTTTTACTATATATTTAAATATATATTATTACGTCTAGACACATACTACAAAAGTTAGAACAACTAAAAATTTGGAATGGATGGAGTATGGTCTACGCTTTCTCTTTGGAGGTCTTGGAGTCTTTTAATTAGAACCCTACATCCGCGCAAGTCTGCCGGACCAAGCAATGCCAATTTTTCTTTCCTTCCAGTAGGGAAATGACGAGAGAGGGAGATGCTGCTGTCTGCTATTGCTAGATGATTAAAAGATTCTTTGCTTTGCTTACGTATGTGATTGTGGCTTTGAAGGAGGAGAAGGTGTACTTCTAAAGCGACTCATGGAATTATTTTATTTGGCATGAGTCCATGCATGTACTACTGAAGCAAACCGATGCATAACATGAGTCGGTTCATTCCAATTAAAATAGCATTCACGCAGAAAGAAGAGGAAGAGGAAAGGGACGGAAAGCACCAGGTCGCTCATGTAAGTGTCCGGCTTAGGAGAACAAAACATTTTTTTATTAGAATGGCACACAGAAAGAGTCGACCTACCACTGGAGATTGAAGGGATCGACTTAATTGCATCTTATTATATGCGTACGTGGCCTCGGTGAGTCGACCCACTACTACACATGTCCGAAGAAACCAGGAGACGGATAAGAAGAAAACCGCTTTTGCAAAACCAGAGCATGTCTCTGTCTCGCGATTAAGAAATGTGCGCTTGCCTTTGCCTACATCTGTGCTAAAAGAATACAATTCCAGTTCTGCTTTTTTTAGCCAATATATATCTAAAATCCAATCCAACTTATAAGAAAGATCATAAATATAAAAATGAATATAGTATAAAATATATTCCACTTAATGATCTGTTTTATATTTTGTTAGAATCGTATTCTTTTCGACATAAAATGGAGTATATGAGCAGAAAGCGACGGCCATTTCTGTATTGTACGATTTTTCTCGCTGAGAAATGGCCCTGACACGAACAAGGACGTTCGGTCTAATCATACGTCTTTCACAAATAAATAAACAAATAAAATAATGAAAAGAAAAATAAAAGTGGACGAAAGCAACGTCCACAAGGAAAGCAACCGCAAAGATTGGGAGGGGAGGACCACGAGAGCGCAATGGATGATGGGCAGGGCTTGTGAGATTTCCTCCGTTACTCGCCGTGTAAAAGTCACGTCAGCCAAACGGACGTGGCCGTTAAGCGCACGGCACGCTAGGAATGCCGACGTGCTCTTTTCCTCTAGGCATTTCTGGTCCATCTTGGATTACTCCAGCTAATTTAGGTTCTGCTGTTTTAATAAAACTCTATAGCATCACGACCACCAATGATTAGGTGCTAAGCCTATTATTTTCTTTTTTATTATGAGCACGACGACAATTGCAAGCACATATTCGTACCCTTACTTTTCTATAGACATACTTGAATAACTAGCTAGCTAAAGTTAGCTTAAATTTACCGTTTTTAAATTTACCCTTAGATTTTTTTTCTTAGACTTACTCTCTAAATTCTCGTTTCAAGCCATTTGAATAAAAATAATGTCTATATCTTTCCATCTAATGGCCTCTCTATGTATTGTGTGTGTGCGCACTTTGGAGAGTCATTTTTGTTCTCTATCTTTGTTTAGTGAGAAAACCAAGAATAGAGGATGACTGTAGTTGAAAATCTCCTATCAACACAAAATGATATAAAGAGGGTTTTGGAGTTGCTCTAGTGGCTAGAGACCAAAAAAAAAATACTCAACACCTAAATTAGGTTGTTTTTAGCCCATCCAAATAGATCATATATCTTTATCACTATATCTCAAAGACTTACACAATCATTCGTGACAAAAAAAAGTGTTAGTGAAATAATATTTTCATGTCTATATTTTAGTTGATAAATTTTGAAGCTTATATAGATAGGGGATTTTCAAGGTAACTTAATCTTGGATGCGATGTTGCCAACCTTTTCGAAGTGTCAAATGTCTTGCACTCTTGTGTAAGCAAAAACTACACGTAGATTCATGTTTAATCGTTTTACAGAAAGTTGACATTTTGGATATGCAACTCCAAATGATTATTATCTTCTAGGAGTATGCTCTAACCCTCTCGTCCAGTTTTTCTATCCGTGTACGGGGTCATTTGACCTTATGCATGCTTTTAACACATATGTTTTTTTTCCTTTGCCTTTCCCTTTATTAGCTTTATAAACATCTACGTCCTAATCTTGTTTTTGATGTTCAAACCCTTTTAAGTGTTGATAGATTTTAGTGACCATCTGTAGGGTTCTTAGTCATCCTTGATTAGTCGTCTTCTGAAGAGTCGCTCCCTCCGTTTCAAATTATTATAGTCCAATTTAGTATTGTCCTAAATCCTAAATCAAGCATATTTATTTTTTGGTCGTCATAATAGATTTAGAACCTGCTTGATATAGCTGGAGCCATTATTTTTGGTAAAGAAAACAGGTCCCTAGTTCATTTCAAGAACAGAAAGAAAAATGGCTCCGATAAGCAATATTATCAACAATGTATGAGTTGGAGGAGCCAGACCTTTCAAACGGCCCCTTATTCTCGGTAGCTCGGGTAAAGCTTTTGCTAAATGAACAAAGAATTATTGGTGAAACTATAGCCAAAGTTGGTGGGAACAGTGCCAAACAAACCCCGGAAACCACCCAAAAAGACCCCGGAAACAAATGGATACATGTAGGGCATGCATGCAATAGCCCAGCCATAAAAAGCGGCGAGCCAATGCTCGGGTGTCAACAAAATGGCGCCTGTGCCGGCTCTGGCTGCTTCTGGAACGATCCGCCGCAGTTTGGCCTCGCATACGACGACGACGATGGTCTCCTCTTCTCGATTTGCAGCTCCAGCATGGGAGCCACCTCCTGTCGGCTCACACGTAGGGCCCGTGCTCGCTCTCCCCTAGATGCTTCACCTGCGCCAATCAGTGTGAGCCCCTCATGTCAGATGGTACTTGTACATATGGAGTACGTGATACCACAACACATACATTGGTCAGGATCGATAGCATATGATCCTGTCGACATGATGTGTTTTAGTACCTCGCAGAAGAGTGAGCAGTAATCGTGCCCGGAGAGGAGTGGCCGCGCGCACGCGGCGCAGGGGTTCTCCGCGCTCGCTGGTCGCTTCCTCACTGTGTGCGACTACATGCACTGCTGCGAATCAAGACCCAGGTAGAGATGGAGCGCCTCTCGACCGCCTCTGTCTCAGTGACGGTTGGTGTGCATGCATGCGTATGCATGCACGCCACCGATATCATACCTGGATGCGTACTTGGCGGTACTTCCGGATCTTTGGGTTCCATTACATACCGTCAATCATCAAATATATAAAGAGAAGAGTTTGAGATCGGTTTGTTGGTAGCAACGGCTGGCCGGCATGCATGCCGACTGCCGAACTGCAGCGTGGAAAGAAACAACGTGAGTGGTACCTGGAGGACGTCGTGCGCGTGTTCGTGCGGGAGGCAGTGGCGGCATAGCGCCGCGGCGCAGTCCACGCAAAAGTGGTTCTTGTCATTCTTGCGCTCCCCTGGGTGCGCGACGCACACGTCGAACAACTCCTCCGATAGCAGCCCGCGCAACCACTGTGGGGCGCAGCGCACGGGCGCTGGCTGCATCGCCGTTTCGTCGTTCGTCCGCATGCGCGCTAGGCAGCTCCTGCGGTCGATCTGCGCACCGTGACAACGACAGGGTGGGCCGGTGGGGGCCGCTAGTAGGTTCGGTTGGATTAGTGAGCGTGTAGAGGAGGCATGGGCAACGATAGACTAGATTTCAATTCAAAGACCGAAAAGTGCGGGGTTCCGCACCATTCTGTTCGGTGCTAATTCTCGACATGCGAGACGTTTACGGTTCGGTTGGATTAGCGAGCGTGTATAAGGGGCATGGGCAACGATAGACTCGATTTCAATTTAAAGACCGCAAAGCGCGGGGTTTCGCACCATTCCGTGGGGTGCCGATTCTCGACATGCGAGACGCTTATGGTTCGATTGGATTAGTGAGCACGTAGAGGAGGCATGGGCAACAATAGACTCGATTTCAATTCAGAGACCGAAAATGTAGAGGGGGCATGAGCAACGATAAACTCAATTTCAATTCAAAGACCGAAAAGCGTGGAGTTCCACACCATTCTTAGCGGCGCTAATTCTCGACATGCGAGACATAAATGTAATACCGAGATGACCTATGCCTATGTCGTATTCAAATTAACATGAACAGTGACTAAAGTGTTGGCGGTGTTCGTGAACAGTGGTGACGCGTGGACGCGGTGGCCATCTAGGGATTCGCTCCGTGTTCTAGGTATGTATGTATATGTATATGTATATGTGTGTATATATATATATATATAGTATATAAAAACTTGAAAGGGGAAAAAATTTAAGCCAATGCATGGGCATGATTGAAGCAAACGGTATATAGAAAACTTGAAATGTTCTACGAAAAGAAAAAATCAAGCCAATGCATGATTGAAGCAAACGGTATAGTAACGGTGTGAACCTTATCTAGAGATCTTTTGTAATCCTTAACGGCCACCAACCGCGGGAAGCAAACGGCGTCCTCCTCCTCGATATCTCCGCGGCGGCCTCTGGCTTTTTCCTCGGAATTTCGCGGTGGGGACGGATTCCACGAGACCGCGACGCAACCGCCTCTCGCCGCTGGGCCCCACACCGCTCGGTGCCGTAGCCTCACGGGACTCTTTCTCCCTCCTCCCCCGTGTATAAATTGGCTTCATCCCCTCCCTGCCTCATCCATCCAAATCCCAGTCCCCAATCCCATCGTCGGAGAAATTCATCGAAGCGAAGCGAATCCTCCCGATCCTCTCAAGGTACTGCGAGTTTCCGATTCCCCTCTCGACCCCCCTCGTATGCTTTCCCTGTTTGTGTTCGTCGTAGTGTTTGATTAGGTATGCTTTCCCTGTTCGTGTTCGTCCTAGTGTTTGATTAGGTCGTGTGAGGCGATGGCCTGCTAGCGTCCTTCGATCTGTAGTCGATTTGCGGGTCGTGGTGTAGATCTGCGGGCTGTGATGAAGGTATTTGGTGTGATCGTGCTCGCGTGATTCTGCGGGTTGGCTCGAGTAGATATGATGGTTGGACCGGTTGGTTCGTTTGCCGCTCTAGGGTTGGGCTGGGATGATGTTGCAATGCGCCGTTGCGCGTGATCCCGCGGCAGGACTTGCGTTTGACTGCCAGATCTCGTTACGATTATGTGATTTGGTTTGGACTTTTTAGATCTGTAGAAGCTTATGTGCCAGATGCGCCTACTGCTCATATGCCTGATGATAATCATAGATGGCTGTGGAACTAACTAGTTGATTGCGGAGTCATGTATCAGCTACAGGTGTAGGGACTTGCGTCTAATTGTTTGGTCCTGTACTCATGTTGCAATTATGCGATTAAGTTTATATTGTTTGTTCCACTCATCTAGGCTGTAAAAGGGACACTGCTTAGATTGCTGTTTAATCTTTTTAGTAGATTATATTATATTGGTAACTTATTACCCTTATTACATGCCATACGTGACTTCTGCTCATGCCTGATGATAATCATAGATCACTGTGGAATTAATTAGTTGATTGTTGAATCATGTTTCATGTACATACCACGGCACAATTGCTTAGTTCCTTAACAAATGCAAATTTTACTGATCCATGTATGATTTGCGTGGTTCTCTAATGTGAAATACTATAGCTACTTGTTAGTAAGAATCAGGTTCGTATGCTTAATGCTGTATCCTGTATGTGCCTTCTGCTCATGCCTGATGATAATCATATATCACTGGAATTAATTAGTTGATCGTTTAATCATATATCAAGTACATACCATGGCACAATTTTTAGTCACTTCCTTAACCCATGCAGATTGAACTGGTCCCTGCATGTTTTGCTAAATTGTTCTATTCTGATTAGACCATATACCATGTATTTTTTTTTGGTAATGGTTCTCTTATTTTAAATGCTATATAGTTCTGGCACTTGTTAGAAAGATCTGCTTCCTAGTTTAGTTGCCTATCCCTCGAATTAGGATGCTGAGCAGCTGATCCTATAACTTCGTTTCATGTTTCAATTCTTTTCTGTTCAACAGTTGATCAGTTTTTGTTAGATTCATAGTAACTTATGGTCACTTACTCTTCTGGTCCTCAATGCTTGCAGATGCAGATCTTCGTTAAGACCCTCACTGGCAAGACCATCACCCTTGAGGTTGAGTCCTCAGACACTATTGACAATGTCAAGGCTAAGATCCAGGACAAGGAAGGCATTCCTCCGGATCAGCAGAGGCTGATCTTTGCTGGCAAGCAGCTCGAGGATGGCCGTACCCTAGCTGACTACAACATCCAGAAGGAGTCCACCCTCCACCTGGTGCTCAGGCTCAGGGGAGGCATGCAGATCTTCGTCAAGACCCTCACTGGCAAGACTATCACGCTTGAGGTCGAGTCTTCTGACACGATCGACAACGTGAAGGCCAAGATCCAGGACAAGGAGGGAATCCCCCCGGACCAGCAGCGTCTCATCTTCGCTGGCAAGCAGCTTGAGGATGGCCGAACCCTCGCTGACTACAACATCCAGAAGGAGTCGACTCTCCACCTTGTGCTCAGGCTCAGGGGTGGCATGCAGATCTTCGTCAAGACCCTCACTGGCAAGACCATCACCTTGGAGGTGGAGTCCTCGGACACCATTGACAATGTGAAGGCGAAGATCCAGGACAAGGAGGGCATCCCCCCGGACCAGCAGCGTCTCATCTTCGCCGGCAAGCAGCTTGAGGATGGCCGCACCCTTGCTGACTACAACATCCAGAAGGAGTCCACCCTTCACCTGGTGCTCCGCCTTCGTGGTGGTATGCAGATCTTCGTCAAGACCCTCACCGGCAAGACCATCACCCTAGAGGTGGAGTCCTCTGACACCATCGACAATGTGAAGGCGAAGATCCAGGATAAGGAGGGTATCCCCCCGGACCAGCAGCGTCTCATCTTCGCTGGCAAGCAGCTTGAGGATGGCCGCACCCTGGCAGACTACAACATCCAGAAGGAGTCCACCCTTCACCTGGTGCTCCGCCTTCGCGGTGGTATGCAGATCTTCGTCAAGACCCTCACTGGCAAGACCATCACCTTGGAGGTGGAGTCCTCTGACACCATCGACAATGTGAAGGCGAAGATCCAGGACAAGGAGGGCATCCCCCCGGACCAGCAGCGTCTCATCTTCGCCGGCAAGCAGCTGGAGGATGGCCGCACCCTGGCAGACTACAACATCCAGAAGGAGTCCACTCTCCACCTGGTGCTCCGTCTCCGTGGTGGCCAGTAAGTCCTGGACCATGAGCAGCTGTCCTTCCAGGGTTCACAAGTCTGGTGCCTTCTTCTGTCCCTCCGATGGAGATTATCTGCATGTCGTGGTCGTGTCCTGATTGAGTCGTCGTTGAGTCCCTATGTTTTTCTTCAAGCAATTTGAGTCCTATGTCAGTCTGGTTGTGTTTGTGAACATTTCTGCTGCTGCGCAGCAGTTTGGTTGGAACTGTGCAATGAAATAATTGAACCCTGGTTTCTGGTTATATGTGTGTTGGCTAATGTTTTTGAAGTGGAAGCTCTAATCTTCTATTGCGTTGCTACTACAATTCTGCTTGTGTTTTGATGGTTCTTGGTTTCTGTTAGTTGGTTCAGAGCAAGTTCTGCTTCAACAGACTAAGATGCAGTTGAACTCTGGGTCATTCTTCCATTGGTCATGCTGGTTGCTCTGGTTTTCTAGATTTCATTTGTGCTGGTTGAGTGATAGAAACAACCGGTGTGTCTTGTGATGATCGAGTGATCGTCAAAAACCACCGGTGTTCACATCTAAAAAGGTTTAGATCCCCAGGTTTAGATCTCCCGTTTAATTCAAAAAAAAAAAGTTCTGTGTACTTGCATTTAGTTGGGTGGTTGATGCTGCAAAGAGTAACTTTCAAGAGTAATAATCTTTGGTGACTACTCTGTTTCAACTGATCAATCCCTAGGAAAGGTACACCTTTACTTAGGGAAGAAATTCTTAGAACCTTGCACTTTGTTTCAACTGATAGTAATAGTATACTTTATTAGATGAAAAATATTCAGATATATTAGACACCGGATGTCATCCTTACAAACCTCTGTCATGGTCCTGCAGAAATGTTTGCCAGCTCCAGTGGCTTCCTGATCAATCTGTGGAGTGCCTGTTAATCGGCTGCAATTTTTGCTGAGCACTGTATATATGTAGTAGTACTATGCCACCAATTCGATTTTGACACAGCACTATTGGCCCACCAATTCGATTCTGACACAGCAATGCATAATTTGAAAACGTGTTGCTCCATTTTGCAAGGCTACAAATTTAGATCATGTTTAGCATTATGTGGGATACAATACATGGATATCGAACAAACTTGGTATGTCAGAGAAAAAAATAGTTTATATTCAAAACTAACATTTTTAAAGCCTTCTATGAACTTTAAACTTTCAGCATTTGGGATCAAGATGAGTGCTCGAACAAGAGTGCAGTATTTCTCCAAAATAATCTACTACAGAGTTCTTTTTTTTCAAAAAAAAACTTATACTTAACAGATAAATCAGACTTCTTCTGCTCCATATCACCTTGACAAATCAAAGAAGCAGCACCAATGAA